TCCATATGTATTCAAGTCCTTGTATTTTAATGGTTTTTCTCAATGCTATGCAAATGATCTGACACCGTTCTAAAGTCTGTTTCATGCACATAATCCATAAATTATTTGAGATCAAATCTAGAGGAGGTTCTGAGAGAAATCATTTTTGGACAGGATCAAAGTATGTATACAGACTGTTCTCACAAAAAGGGCAGTTTGCATTTTTGTTTCCCAAAAAGCAATTTCTACTTCCCTGTTTTGGAAAGGAAACAACTTTTGAATTTCAGAAGAGTTTTGAAAAGCAGTTTGTGGCATGTAATTGAGAAAGACTGAATCTGCTCTTATAGGAGTATAAAATCCCTGTAGTTGTGCATTTAAACTCCTTTGGACACATACAGTTTATATACATGTGCCATTGTAAACGCACACTTTACTTGTTATCTTTCTAAACTACCTGTGCACTTTCTAACCCATTAATCATGGGGACAAAGCTGGCCACCACTCAGCTCAAAGGGAGCAGATTTGCAGTGGCAAGCACAAATTAATCTTCTGTTCATGAGTCAATAGTCAACAGTTGGTGCAAGCAACTGCCAGAACATCAGGATCTGCCTCTCAGGGCTTGGAGTAAATTTTTGTAAGATAGCTGTTCTATCACCCAGACCCTGACCACATGCATTGGAGCCAGCTGGTTCAAGATTTTTGGGCCCAGCTAGATCTGAAAGGCGTGAGCACTGCATTAAGATGTGCAGTTTTATTCAGAAATTAGTGCAGCCTTCCATCTGGGAGATGATTGATACCTCACGGATAATAGATGTGGATTTCAGGCCCAAGGTACCTTCTTGGTTCCTTATATCAAAGAATCTACAGGTGAGGTGGTCTTTAATAAGGGTCTGTTGGACCCATTTGGCCCACTCCTCATGGACTGGTTCAGCCTGGCATTTTGCCAAGGGCAGTATGTGTGATATCACTGTTCATCTATGAAATGGGATGCCAAGTTGAACATCCTTCACCCTGAGGGCTGCATTTCATTTTGGAGAAGCTCTTGGGAATTGCCTTCCACTGATGGGCAGGGTTGGGAAAAAGGCTGTCCAAGGAATCTGCAATAGATTCAAATGAGTCTGGAATTCTTTGAATCTGTCCAACACATTAAACTGCAGACAAGGTTTTCCAAGTTCTTTGAATTCTGTGGACTCATGGAGGTTTTTTTAACTTCAAGAATGGTACACAAAAGTAATCACACAAAAATATATATGTTTCTGGAAAATACAGGAATATACTTTAAAAGCAATATTTTACACATTGTTGATCTCTCTTCAGCCTTGGCTGCTCCACAATCTTTTGTTTTGTTTTGTCTGCTCTGCTCATCAATCCTACATTGAACTAAGAAAACTAAGCAGAAAAGTTGCATGCTAGCAAAGGCTGTCAGTTTCAGGAGTCTTATCTGCATGCTTTTCCAAAGAGAGGGAAAAAACTGAAAAAGATACCTGATAATCCATGAAACACAGGTGTTGGGAGCAAAAAAAACCTGGGGAAAAATACCACTATGTTTTGGCTTTAAACTCTTCCTGCCACTAGCTAGCCACAGGTGAAACATTTCAACCTTTTAGAATGGGAAATACAACTGCACGAGAGCAGCGAAACCACCAAATGGCTGGTGGTTGGAGGAAAGAGGGTGAAGTAATGGAATGAGGTAGAAGAATGGGATGAGGATGTGGCCATCTGGGGAATACCAGGGGGGCAGACTGGAATGAACACTAAGTGGGCCAGATCTGTGTCCCTGACCTAAGGTTCTGTACCTCTGAATTGGGGAACATTGGGGTCAGATCATACATCTTTAGTAATCAATATAAACATTTACAGCAGTCACTGCTAGTCACTTCACGATGTATCAACCACCTGTTCTTGTTGGCACCAGTATGATCATCCTGCAATGTCACACAGAAAAAATGTGTCCTGCTGTGAAGGATACACATTTTTTGTTCTCCAGATTATCTCTTGTTCTTCAACTTTATAACATTTAGTGTGCGTAAAAGGCCTGCATTTTACAAGCTTAAAAAAGTGGCCATTTATTGGCTGCTTCATTTACCGACATGATCAAGAAAGCACAAATAGCATGGATGGCTTAAGAAATTAAAACAAAAACAAAAACCACAACCCAGATTGAAATCTTGAACCAGGCAATTGTGTGCCAGTTCTACGCCTAGTCCCCAAAGGCACAATCAAATGCTTTTCAAATACATCTTCTGTGAAGAACATATTCAAGATTTATCCAATTAGCAGCACTGCAACTTTCTACAGAGGCTAATTTGAAGCAAGGCAAAGACAACAAATCATTTGGTCGTAATTCACCATGGACACTTTAGGTCAACCACATTAAACAGATGTCATAAATGAAAGGAACTGAAGAGCTTGATTATTAAAACTGCCTCATTATCCCAAGTCCTTAAATGTAACCTATTGCTTAAAAGTACATTATGTGAGCGGAGTGAAATAGAGATGACAGAAAGAGAGCGGATCTCAGGAATATTCAACATATCAGTTTTAAAAATACATGCTTTCCCCCACCCTTTTTAGTCTGCTTCAGGATGTGTTCCAATATGAAAAGCAAGCTCACTCATGTGCATAATGTAGAAGAAGAGTATGAAACTTTTCATGCAAAAGAACAAGTTGAAACAGTTTGCATTGCTTCTTTTTCTGTCCCACATGTGCATCTACTCATTGGTTTGCATGGTCCATATACAACTGCTTCCCTTTGTAACAGTGCAGGGACCTACTCCTGCACTGACTACAGTACTTTTATACACACACACACACACACACACACACACACACACACCAAGACCAACTCTCTCCTTGCTGTAACTCAAATTGCCACCAAGCTTTGCTTTAAAAAGGAGATTCAAGGAGGCAAAATTCTAGAAAAACTTTGGAGGCATTTCAAAGCCAGCAAAAAGAGCTCAGATCAGCCAGGCAAAATTTCTCATGCCGCAGAGCTTGCTTTCATGCTGTTATGGGGCCCTTGCATATGAGAGCTGACTGCAGATGTCAAACCTTATTCCAACTAATGAGGAATAAGCAGAAGAGAAGTACATGAATGGCCACTTCCTTCCTTTTGGGTGCACATCCTAAATGGTGTTAGGAATTAGAAGTTCCCCACCCATCTTTCAAGAAAAAAGAACAGCAGCATTGTTCAGTCCAAAGCCCAGTGTATCCATTGTTGCCAATGGAAAACTTTCTTTTAAGCTTAATAGCATGGGTGGTGGCAATTTTCCTACAAGGGGAAAAAGAGAAGTGGGGATGGGACCCTGGGAGGCTGAACATTAATCATAACTGAAGAGGAATAACTGCTTTGGAAGGATCCAGGGTGACATGCAAAAGAATTACTTCACTTGAGATATTTTTCATAAGAAAGAATTCGTTGGCTTTGCCTGCTATGAATATGGTATAAATCCCAGTAATGAAACTTCAGTTTGCACATATAGATATAAATTAGAAAATGTCACATTATTCAGACTTCTGACCTATGGGCATGGGTCCAGAATCTTTTAAGTGTATAGCAGTGCCCTGGCAGGAGAAGGGCAGGGAATTTCTTTGACCTCATGCTAAGCCACAGACAGGCCTATAAACAAAAAGCAAACTCTGAATTGTGACATGTCCAAATGCTTTGTGCAATGAAATGGAAACAGTGTTTTCTCTCTGCAGTGCCTGCTGAGATAATTGGGGTGCCCTCCTGTCAAGCTTTCCTCCACCACTCTGAATCTGACGTGGCAAAAGAGAGACTCAGTCCAAACCAGAAATATGATCAGAGTTCCACAGACCACGGAGGAAGTTTCCACCCTATTTCTTCTGTGGGTACAAACAGGGTTTCTCATTCACCTTTAAAGTAGTAGGGATGTGTGCAAGTTGACTCTGAAACTTGTGGGCAGAGAAATGGAGGGGAACCATTTCACCAAATTTCTTTGAAAGAAGAAGACGTTCTTGACCAGATTCTCAGAGGCAGAACTCACCACTAGCAGTGGTTGCAACCCAGCTGCAAGGGCGTTGTGTGTATGTATGTGTGTGGGGGGAGGTGGACTCTTTCTTTCTATTATATCTCTCCATTGTTCTGCACTCTCCTGCACTTCCTGATCGGAGGTGCGGGGGATAGACCCATGGAAGGAATTACCTCAAGATGTCTTCCACTGGGCTTGAATTGAAGTGCAGGAAATGGAAAAGGCTACAGGCTGCTTCAGAGGTAGTGGCACAATGGAAAAAAGGACATTTGCACACATTCCTCAGCCACATTAGAAAAAAGAAGCATGGACTCAACCCTTGAGTATTTCTCTGACATGTTCTTCTCCTTTGGACTGCTTTGGAGAGCAATTTCTTCGCTATCAAATGGCATGAGATTGGTGGGAGACATGTGGGAGACACTTCTGGCACCGCACGAAAATGTGGCAGCCCTCTGGCTATGCCATATGTTTGCCTCATGAATGTTGTAGGCGCATATGTTCACTTGTGAAAGTTCCAGACTTCTTTGTAGGGTGCATAAATATCCTTCTCTGTTAGCTGAACACCTTCACAGACCTGCAGAACAGGGAGTCATCCCAGTCTCAAAAACTGTGTGGCAATTTGCACACCTGGTTATAGGGCTATGAACTGATATTAGCATAAATCACTCTAGGCCAATCACTCTGTGCTTTGGACACAGAAGCATCTTGTCCACATCATAAGAGCAGATCAAATTCAACAGGGATTTAAGGACATTTACAATGAAAACCTTCATAGCATTGAGGTACGCTTCTTCCTTCCTGCTAGTCTCAGAAAACACTGGATCTGTATTCTTCTTATTCATATAGGTGCTAGAGCTTATACCTAGAAATAATATTTTCTTACACTGCATGACGAACTTTCATCACAAAATAAGGGAGGGGAGGGGAGGGGAGACAGATGAACTAAATATGTTGCATCTGGCTCAGGAAATGCTGAACTACCTTCAGTGCCTGTGCACACAATATCCAGGTGTCCATCACAATACATACCAAAGACTGTCCTTGCAGGAACGGATTCTCTGTTCAGCCAGAAGGACACCTGGGACAGGATGACTGTCATGATGCAGGGCAGATAAGTCTGAATCACAAAATAACCAATTTTCCTCTTCAAATGAAAATGAGCTGTCATTACTGTGTATTCACCTGGAGAAAAGGGGATCACATTAATAACAATATGAATAGACATCATTGTGAAAGCCTTTCAATCAATGGTTCTTTTTAAATGATGAGCTTAAGGCAGCTAGCAAATGTGCTGTAGATTTGCCACCTCTCCAAAAAAAGAAAAAGAAAAGAGGGAGAGAGAGTGCTATGTTAGGAGAACTAAACAAAGGCTGACATCCAAAGAAGTGCTTTAAGCACATCCAAGGTCATAAATGATTTTTTCCCATTTTCATTTGAACAGCAGATCACTACAAAACATTTTCAGATCTGCTCCTGAAGCTTCCTTTAGTCTCAGTACTGGTTTGCCATGAGGCAAGAAGGGAAGAGAATACAACTGTTTCAGTGCATAGAGAAGCTTTGAATCATGGCCCCCAAATTTATTCTAGACTTTGCAAGATCTACAAAATTTTTAAAAATTACAAAAATATACAATGGACACGCTACACTATTAGTTAATTAAGCAAGAAAACTTCACTTCCAATGACTTGACTTCTTACTAACCTGTACTTGATTTAGCTGTCTCCTGCCCAATGGTTTGTCCTAAGAGATCATACTGATTCAATCTTGAACCATCTGGGGCCACTTCTACTGAATTGGATGCATTGAAAGTCCACTTGTAGGTCACTTCTGAAGTTGTATATGCATCTATAGTGAAGGAGAAAATAAAACACTTTGTCATATGGAAAGCTTCTAAGCCGTAGCAACTTGGACCACTTTTGGATTCAATCTTCAGAGGCTGTTGCTTATGTAAGCAGTGGCTCCTTCCAAGTTGTTTGACTAGGTGGCGACTAGGCGAAGGATGCATGCATGCTCTCAATTTGCAGAGGATAGGATGGGGAGATTCCTACTGTGCTGTGCTAGCACCAGTGCATCAGCAAACATTGCAGCGCCCAAGGCCCCCATCCCTCCAACTGATTCTCCCATGTTCCAGCAGGGCCTGTACTGTTTGTTGACCCAAGAGAAGAAGCAGAAGTGAGAAGCTGACCACCATCAGAGAAGCAAAGGAGCTGTGTTTCATTTGGCCTTGCCTTCCCTGCTTCCTTCTTCCACTGAAGAGGAAGCAGCCAGTTCAGCTCTGCCCATCCTAATTCCATCCCACAATGGGGGAAAGAACATGGAGCGGACAAAGCTGGGCTGAGACAGCCCATGTTCACTGCACTTCTCTAACTGAGAAGCAAAGACAGTACATCCAGGTTAGTGTCAATGCATGTGGGATTTGTCCCAGACCCCACGTGGTAGATCTACCCAGTACTTTGGCCAGGACCAAAAGATGACCGGTGGCATAGCTACACCCACTTGACATCCTGAGGCCCATGGAGAACCATGGTGGGGTCAGCCAGCTCCCACTTCTTTTTTGGGGGAGGGGTTGTACCTCTAGACTAGAGAAACAATCCTGTAGTAGGAAGACTTTTAGTGCTGGGTTAGTTAAATCTAAGAGCCACTGGTCCATTTCAGATGCAAAACAAAACCAAGTGATGCAGACAAATCAGTCATCCAATATTTGTGTGGTTTCCTCTGGCAAAACTTGAGCTGCTGTCTTACCATTTGTCTGCAGCAGAAATATGTGGAGAAGCTGCTTGATTGCCTCTTCAGAGACCCCTGGCCACTCTCACATGGCTCAAGGAAAAGGATGGTCCTCATTCAGCTCTCCTCTCTCCCTTTTACAGCCCATCAACAAGAAATCTGTTTTTGCCAACCTTGTCTTCCTTGCTATCCTGAGGATGCAGATGCTCCTTGTTCTCCCCCCACCCCTCACAAAGTAAAGCAGGCAATTGTACAATAACAATTCCATAAAGTGCCCTGAATAGTGCGGCATTGTTAACTTTGTTCCACGAGTAAATATCATGGAAAGATTCTGTTGAATGCCATGCTCTTTGTTTGGCAGGCTGGCTTAAAAGCAAGGCTGCTTGGCTAGGCATTTCACACAGAGGTAATGGCTGAGTTATTGAGGCTGTGTCAAGCAGTCTCAGGGAGAATGCCATGCACTATGAAACTACCAGCAAGAGGCTCTGGAAGAATTTAAGTTTACATTTATTTTACATTTACTTTATCCTCCCAAAAGAAAGAATAGGTGTAACATTACACACTATTGTGAAAAATAGTAGAGGAGAGATAAGCATAACTCTTCAAAGGACAAAATGGGAAGAATTGTTTTGACAAAACAAATTAAATAGGAGGAAAGGAGGAGGCTTTTTCCCCAAAGGGTTTTAGACAGTCTGCTATATTTTATGGGCAGAACCATGCACGTAATGTTATTTTATGTTTCTGCATCAAGTCCTCATTAATAATACTGAGCTCAATTTTTGTCTTTCTGCCAGAAAAAAAGGCATAGAGTAGACTTGCTAAAGGTGCAAAAATAGTCCAAATATTATGGGAATGAAACATCCTCTTTGTGAAGATATGCCGGAGAGGAGAGGAGAGGAGAGGAGAGGAGAGGAGAGGAGAGGAGAGGAGAGGAGAGGAGAGACCAGCATTGGGGGGGTGGGGGCACAGTAGAAGTAAATGACATGAAAGAAAAATATAAGAATATGTTCATTCTAAAAATATAACCAGACATCTGTTAGATGGGTGGCAAGCATCTAAAACAAAGCAAAATATCAAATCATAAGTATAAATGGTTTTAGAAAAGGACTAGGTGACAATGTGGTAAGTTATGGCTGTTAGTCAAAAATGCAAACATTGGATGATGTGAAGATATATGATATCATTACTTTATTAAAGTAAGCAGGATTCACCCAGTCAGTACCTGGATCAAAGACCCAGTGGCAGCTCTGTAATAGCTTTTGCATTCTTGAATGAACTAATAATAATAAAAATAGCACTCATCTGGAATGTGTTGACCTTACGAAGTGCTATATATGGCCTGCAAGAATGGAGCCATTTCCAGGCCAGATGTTTGAAGATTTCCTTGAGCACCCAAAAATTTGTCCTGAACCACTTCTACCTTTTTTAATTCAGCACCAAAAGCCAAAAATCATTTGATTTCATCAAATAGCATTTTCTGGAGTTTCCAAGCTCTTCCAGTCTGAGCTATTACAAGGCAAGGTTAACTGCTGCTGAGAACTTGTCCTAAAATATTTGTTTCTCTTTTGAGTATATCACCAAAAATGATGTGTTTGCCACTGCTCCGTGAGTCCTGAAGATATGGTACTACATCACATATGTACGCTGATTCAGGTTTCCAGGAGAAGCTGTTGCAAATCTAGTCTAGCTTCCAACCCAACAATCCTCTGGAAGCAAGGCTCAAATAAATCACCAGCCGACTTCTCCAAAGTTGCAAAGGAGTAGCATTTAAAACACAAATGCTCTAGGGATGAAAGGATCCATTGGCCTGTTTTTCTCAGTTTCTCATTTTGGAAATCTTATATTCAGTTTATCCTGAACATTGTAGAGAAAACTGGTGTGAATTTCTCTGAATGTTTTTAGACATTGGTCTACCTAATATACAAATTTTTGCAAGCATTTTCCTAATATATTTAACATTGATCATTATTTCATGAGCATATGCATTTTGTGTGCCCTTTTCCTTAAGGAGAACATTTTTGTACACATATTTTGTCTGGAAAACTACACTGTGTAAATCAGAAAGATACAGTTGTAGAAGGATAATGGAGCTGTGCTTTATTGAAAGCACATTTTTTTTAAAAAAATGTGAATGAGGTTATTTTCCCCCTCATCTCTACTGGCAACATGCAGGAAATGAAACTTTAGGTAATGAGTGCTGTGAGTGGCACCTGCCTGAACACCTGAGGAACATCAGTGAAATTTATTTTATTTATTTTTATTTATTTATTTTATCAATTTATATCCTGCTTTTTTCCTACAAATGGCTCAAGGCAGCTTACATCTCCTCCTCCAACTTATCCCCACAACAACAACCCTGTGAGGTAGGTTGGGCTGAGAGTTTGTGACTGGCCCAAAGTCACCCAGTTGGCTCCATGGCTGAGCGGGGACTAGAACCCAGATCGTCTGAGTCCCAGTCCCAGGCTCTTAACCACTACACCACACTGGCTCTCCAAATCCAAGGAAGTGAAGTTTGTGCCCATCATTCTCGACCTTTGCCCAAAAGTTCCCCAAACTACTCCTTACAAATACACCCTGCTGTGATGGCCCGGATATCAGAATACACCAGGTCGCATTTTTCTTAAAATAATGTCATGTCATAGTCTTGTAGATCAATTTCCAGCATCAGTTCTGATATGTGGAGTAGTTAGCGAAATTCTCCCAAGTGAGGAGCCAGTTAGGGCTCATAAAAACCTGCCTCCAATTGGGGATAAACTCCTACCTAACTCATCCTTGTTAGCCCTCACTGTCCAAAAAGGCACTTCCCCAGTCTGCCCCATGCAGTTCTGCAGAACCCCATCGAGCAGAGCAGAGCAGAGCAGAGCAGAGCAGAGGAAGGCAATGGAAAACGTCCATCTTTTCTTCCTGCTGCACAACACCGCCATTCCCACCTTGAATATGATCCCATTAGTGACCTCAGTTATTAATTACAGTCTATGCATTTCTGTGTAGCCAGCAAGGTTAAAATGGGTCTACACCCAGTATCTGACATTCTTTGACTTTGCCTTGCTATAAATTGCTACAAGCTTGCTCCTGTCTGTCTGTTTATACTTATATGCTACTTCATATAATAATTTCCCAATATAGTACATTACTAAAATCAGAGCTTAACATCAAGGTTGAACAGTTTGAACCACACAATGTGTTCAGGTTGCTGGAAACAAATAAGAACAACAATGCCACACCCACCAAGTATCCAATAAAAGAGCTCTTGATCATTTTGTATTTAAACAAGAAGTAATTGATAACAGCCTCCATTTAAAAGAAGACTGTACAAATGTAAATGTATAGAGATTATACAAGCGAAGTTGCAAATTTCAGTTTCCTCACAGGGTTTGCAACTGATTTACAAGTTCAGCTTTCACCACAAGCCACTTGGATTTACAACTTATGATGTAGTGTGAAATCAAACCTTAGTTTCTCAAAAGAAGAGTAAGATGTAAATCATATAGACAAACAAATGTTTCTGAGACCCCTTCTGTCAGGTGCTGTGCATTAGCAGTGGGAGGCATCCCTTCCCATTTCCATGAACCAATGAAATTAAGCACCGATTCATCCCTTGCCAGCCTGTCCTCAGACCATTTAGTGCAAATGCATTTTACGGATGGATTTTGTTTTGGGCTGCTGAAAAAAAGCAGACTCTGTAACCCATCCTTATGGCTAATAGGGTAGGATAAAAATTGAATGAATAAATAATACATTTATTGCAAGATTCTTGTCCAACATGCTTCCTTTCCTAAGTTTATTTTTGCATCACAATATTGTTTTAGTTCTCATTGATAGTATAGTAGTGTAAGTAAAGGGGGATACCAATCTTTTAAATGAAGAAGTAAAGAAGTAAAGAACTTACACAAACATAGTTTGCAAATAGCCACCTTATCAACAAAATCCTAACAGGACCTCAAAATTGAATGTACACTTAGAACTGTACACAGTTATTTTGTAGAGGGCATTACTTGTTATAGCACCCATTTACTTTTTAAAAAATGGAGCGTTAATCTCAAAAGAAATGTCAGTTTGTTTAGATGTATGCAATTTTTCCAGAAATATGTCATCAAATAGCTTGTTTCTCTCTGTTTCTACCCTGCATCAGGTATCTTGTTAATTATTCTATTTATCTGGATGTTGGAGCAACAACTGTGTCATCCTCTTCCTATAACAGCCATTTAAACCTACTGGTTAATAAATGGCCTTACACAGGGGAGAAAGCTGCAAATAAGTTTGTGAAGAAGTAGGCCACAATATCTTCTGAAAAACAAGAACCGAGGGAGTTTGCTAATATGTTCAAAGACAACTACACTGAAAAATGAAATTAAAACAACAGTCTTAAAATATATAATGCAGCACAAGTCTGCTGAAGCATGCATAAATCTGAGCAAGGCCAAGTGAAACAATGAGATGTTGAACTACATAAGATATTTACTAGCCAGAGGCTGCACTTTTAGCCATGTTACTTACAGCTGCCAAATTTCAAGGGGCACGAGTGAGCATCCATTGGGAAATCTTCTAAGTGCATCGGACACTCAGCCTGGACTGTAAGCCTAGAAGGGAAAAAGAGAGTGTATTCTTGTCTCCTGCTAAGGGGTCACCAAAGTCAGTCACACACAAATTAACTGAACTTATTCCAATCTCTGATATGAATTATATGAAACTAATTAAAACTTAATTCATTCTTTCTTCATCCATTTCATATGGTCCTTCAGACAAGACTGCTCCATTAAATCAAAAGGGTAAAAATAGCCAATGCCAAAACTACAAGAAAGGCCAACTGAATGACATTATAGATTATGCAACTGCAGGTTGTTTGGTAGCAACCAGACACGTGTGTGATGCGAATACAAAACCCCTAGTACAGACTCATGAACTCAGAACAAACTTTTAGGTGATTTACCTGTTTTTTTTCATGAAAAAACAACAAACAAAAACAGTAAGTAAATGGAAGCTTGACAAACCTTAGATAATGTCATTAAATGCACTACAACCATCCCAGGTTATTAATCCCTCAAAAGCAGCATCATATTTACAAACTACTAAAAAGTTTTTCCCTCCAGTGTAACAAATCCTAGAATGTCTGTAATGGATTTGTAAGCCATGTAATGGCTAGTATTGTGATTGACACATATGTGTGAACAAAGACAGCTGTATTAATAAGATCCTGGGATGATGAAGTTCTTCTTGGAATAGGCATCTCATTTGCCATGTGGGAGCTTGCATATGGTAGACATGGGTAAAAGAATGAGCAAAATGCCTCATAATAGATTGTTAACATCCTACTGGGGCAGCAAATTTGAACAGATGAAGTAACCAGTGTACCTCATGGTATATAACAGAGTCCCATCATCCTGGATTCGAAGTAGCTTGTTTGGCATGGTCATGTTATGAGCTACTGACTTCTTTCCATTATGAAAAAATGTATCTGGAGTCCAAATTTTGCTGGCCATTAAATTGTTCAGGCGGAGAATGTTCATTGGACCCTTGAATTTTAATCTTTCATCTTTCCATTTTTGACGAAAGAAAACATCTATCGTGTATTCCTGTCATGGGAAAAAAGTAAACGTTTCAAGATAATTATTATCAGTGCATTTAAATATAGAAGTAACACTGCATGGACATTTTGACTTACTGAGGGAAAGTAAAGAAAGGGAACCACCAACTGGTAAATAAATATTTTTTTAAAAAACTCTTACAGTTGTTCCACCCCTACACACTAGTTCACTTCTCGAGATTTACACTCAGCTCCCTGGCAATCGTACTGTGGAGTCCCACAAGGGTCCATCTTGCCTCCCAGTCTTTTTAATATCTGCATGAAACTGCTGTGGAGATTATCATAAGGGGATCTGGAGTGCGGTCTCCCCAATGTGTGGTTAATGCCTATCTCTCCCTCTGCATTCGATCTGAATCAGAAGAGGCTATGCATGGCTGGACCAGTGCTTGGAGGCAGTGATGGGCTGGATGATAACCAATAAATTGGAGTGAAATCCTGATAAGAGAGACTGTATGGCTGGGGAAACCCAGGTCTGAGAATTAGATAAACTGCCTTTCCTAGAAGGAACTGTGCTCCCCTCAGTTGAGCAGGTATATTATGTAGGAGCATTTCTCAATTCAAAGCTGTCACTGGAGGTCCAAGTGATCTAAATTGCAAAGAATACTCATAGCCAGCTAAGACAATTCCTGGACAGCAGGGCTCTCAACATAGAGATGTTCTTGAACACATCCTAGAAGATTTGAGTAGGACAGTATGTGGCTGCCCCTGTGCTGAGAGGAACACTGAGATGTGAGCATATCAGATCCATAATGAAACTCTCTGCCCTGGCTTCCAGACAGTCACCAGGCTCAATTCAAGGTATTAGCACTAGTGTACAAGACCGTAAAGAGTGAGCACCAAGGTACTTGAAAAACTGCCTTCTGAATACCAACCAAACTAGGACTTAAGATAGCTAGGGAGGCTTTGCTTATGGTGTCAGTGAGAAACATGGCCACAGAGCTACAATGCATGGCACAGCCTTTTCAGTGGTGACAACCCACTGGAACGTCCTTCTAGTAGAAATTTGGCTATTCCCCCATATTGTTATCATTCTGGCATCATTTTAAAAGCTATTTATGCAAGCTTTCAGGGCATAGAGAACTGTTCCTTAAAAAAAACTGATAGACTTTCTGTATTGATGGATTTATTCCATTTTATTATACATATTTGTGATGTCATAATCATGATTTTAACATGGTGTTCTGGGTTTTATATAGCTTATTAACTATTATATCTGAATTTCACTAGGAATTTCTTGTTTATAATGCTTCCAAAAGGTGTTCAGCTTTGCTCACTGGCAAGTATAGATTTTAAAGTATTTCATGAAAGATAAACAACCACCAAAAAAGCTTTTCCCCATGCTCTTGCTGGGCAAGTTTGCAGGTGTCCTTAAGGTAACATCTTCAGTGAAATCTCCAAGGCAGTAATGGGAGAGAGGTTAATCCTGCTATCGTATGCATGTTTGAACAGAAAAGAGTCCTGCATCTCCCAGTATTCCCCATTAAGTGTGGCTGACTAGCTGAGGAATCCTGAGCATTGTAGGAATTTTTTTCTGGGTAAACATATATGGGATTGCACCCTAAATTAATAATTTATACTTGTCATGTCACTGCATTCATGAAAAACAATGGAGGGGGCAATGATCCTATACTGCCACATTTTCGGAAAGCCATTTGGCTAGTAAGCTTATTCAGTCTACAGTTTTAATCAATTGTAGATCATTTTATGTTAAAGGGTTGGTTGAAGTTCTTTCATAGCACATCCCCACAACAGATTCAAATCCTGAAAAGGCACGGTAACGTACTGTATTGCTTTTATACTACTCTCATTAAAAACACACATACTGATAAATCTTGTTATCTAAGAGTTATCTATATTTAGTTACCAGTATTATCTATAGCTTGAATTCCCTGCCATGTGCAAGGGCAGTAGCACTCTCTGATGAACAGCAGACTAATTGCAAAAAAGTGAGGAACTGAGGGCTTTCTTTTAATTTGTACCACATAAGCATTACTTTGAATATGACTGCATGCATTACAGCACAACACTGGATGCATTCCCATTGTGTTAACTTTATTCTGATTAAACAACAGCAAGCATCCAATTAATGAGTATGGAAGCAAGGGGAGTATTTTCAGAGTTAGAAAAAGGAAAAAGCAAGAAAAGGCAAGCGGAGTTCCTCTTTGTTCTTTGCTTTCATTGCTAAAGATGCATTCCTTCTTCTATATCAAACTCAGCAGGTTTATGTGGAATATATACTGCTCTGAGACGTGAGTTTCCATTTGCAAGTTACAGGACTCTTTGCCTGCCTTTCCTCATCTTCAGTTCCACAGTGAAGAAAGTCACACAAAAGTCACACAAGACTGGAGTTTGTTACAAAGTAAAGGGGGTTCTATGAAATTCGGTAGGACACAGCAGATCACTTGGGATGACAACTAGCTATTCAAGATAAATTCTGGCTGAGCTTCCCCGCAGCCCCCACTTGGATTTGTTAAGCTGTAGACACAATTCAAGCAAAGCAATAATTGGCTTTATGAGAAGATTTGTATCTAAGCTGGAAGAAGTAGGCCACTGCAGTATGATGTTTCAAATATCACTCCATGTAGACCCTTCTTGAAAATCCCACTCTTTAGAGAGGGTGTTTTTGTTAGACATTTCTCTTCACTACAGTCTGTCTTGAGTATCTAGGTTCAACTGGCTGTAAAATATTAGAGATTCAGAAGGGAAATGTGGATTTACTTTACCCATGAGTAGATTTCCATATGTTTAAAAAGTGTGGTCTTTTCTCTTTTGATAAACTGATAAGCCACAAAAAACAATCCAACTGCTTATCATTGCAGGGTCAAATTACACCATGGGTGGACAACTGCCAGGGATACCAAGAACAATTTTCTTCTTGGAACCTACTGTGAGTCCTAACCTACTAAAACCTTGCGGGATGATTTTAGTAACAGCAAAAGGGGCTATTTTTCCCTTTAAAACCAGCCCCTTCATGCTGTTGTGCACTTGCTGCAAATCGCAACGTGTTTTTTGAAAACAACAGGAAATCAGCCTTCTTTTGCTCTGTGGGACCAAATTTCAGCAGCAAACATTGTGGAGGGAGATGTCAAAAAGACCAGGGAAGCCTGCATGTTGCCATGCGGCATATGTTGCCAAACACAGAAATACGTTATTTTTTTCTTACTGTAAAAGCAAGCACAGGAGACCCAGATTTGGACTGAAATGCAGGGAGGGATTTGGTTTTAACCCTTTACTCCCATTCCCAACATGCTCTAGGTGCAGACTGGAGAGCCAACACTTGCAATGAAAATTTCCAAATAATAATAATAATAATAATAATAATAATAATAATAATAATAAATGAATAAATAAAGGAAACATTTGCTTCAAAGGGGAAGACTTCAGGTCCTGATTTCTTGTTATTCTTTAGTCCTTGTACTTTTTCTACTGCTTCTGCTATAATTACTGTTACCTTTAATATCAATATTCCTCTGACAAACAAGAAGCAATTTATCTAAGTTTTAACATTCAAGCATTGGGGTTAGCTATTTTTTTAAGATATTCTTGTAGTAACCTGTGGAAGCAGAGTAAATCGCTTTAAATTTAGAAGTCAGAGCACTGGCAAAGGCTTTACAGATCTACTACAAAACTCAAAACGTTGTTGTTTAGCATATACTAATAGTTTTTCAAACTTGGTGTTTTCTAGTACATCTATTCTGAAACTGTCCTTTTTTATTTTACATTTTCTGCAACCCAGTGAGTTTACGGCTTAGCTATAATTTGATTTTTTTCCTTATCAATAGCTTTCTCAAAAATTCCCTTTTCTCTTTTCATTTTAAAAAGCAATCCTCTAGCCACAGGTCTGAATGGATTTCACAATAATGCAAGATCTGCTATAGTACTCCCCTAAAGTATTTAGATGCTTTCATTAAAATGCAAAACTACTAAAGAAGTTTGAGTTGTATTTAATTTCCATTAATAGATTCCTGGTTTCTAATTCACAAGCCTGAAGGAAACCCATACACAATCTATGCATATAATGGTGAGGCAAAAATCTGGAAAAGTTAAGATGCTGAAGTATTTTAAATCATAAATAAATATAGTGGTAAAGAACATCAAGAAATAAGTGAAAGTAAATTCAAAGGAATTTGCATTTTTGTAGTAACTAATTCCAGGTATCAGGTACTCTCAGTTGGGGCATACTATGCTGCAAAGTCAAACTAACTTTATAATGCTGAGATGGATTTTTGGTGTTGGTATTAAGTGAAAGGTCAAGTACTATAATTCCCTGCTAAAATTAATCTGAATTCTCAAAATATGTCAAAGATATAAGAAAGCTGCTCAACAATTAAGCTTCATTCTGGTTGGAGGCACAAAATCTGAAATTAAATTTAGTACTGAACAACAATTCTTTTATAAGTAAGTAAAAGCATGACCTCTGGATAAATTCCTGGATTTCAGTGTTAAGTTGGCTACAAATATATCTGCTACTCCTTACCAATTTAAAGAAAATGTAATTTAGTGGCTGATTATGGATTTAATGAAGAACTTAATTCTAATTATTATACTCTCAGGATACTCTTTACAAAGAACCCAGTTTATTTGCTTGCATATGATTACACAAGGCCATTTTAGTCTTTTATGTATATTCTTCATGGACCAGAAAAAACATTTGCTTACCCAATATGAATATGTTAACAAATATTCCAAACACAACACAAACCTAGATATAAAATGAGTCTTGTGTACCTAAAATAACAAATAGTCAAGAGTTTAACATGACACTTCGATAAGACACTCTCACTCTCCCTGAATGTATGGTGGAAGGAGGAAGCTGGCATATAAAGCTTTACCCAGATATATTCAGACTAGATTAAACAACCCTAGAAGTGAAGAATGAAATTGTTTCATATTTTTCCACTTTCCTCCCACCATCCTCCTGCAACAACGTCTGTTGTGAGAGCTCATTAAGTCTTATATTGGATCAGGAGGTGTCAAAATCTGCTTAAT